TAGGTAATGGTATAAAATGTTGTTGGCTTGCCTCAGGTAACAGATCATATGTTGCTCTATGTAGTGCAGCGAAAGTGTTATTCTTTATGTATAGGTTATACGGTGGCGGCGCGTGGTTTACTGGTTTTACACGGGTGGCCAGTTTTGATAGGGCACGAGGGCGTAGCCCGAGTGGTCTATCAAAACTGAAGCCACGAGTGTGCAACCAGTAAACCACAAGCAAAGCCATCGTATAACGTGTGACACCCGGCGGTAAGGCTCTGACCAATGAGATTGCGCAAAAGCTTTCAAAACGCCCTCTTTTTAACGCACACCCTCGAGTGTACGGAGAGAGCTATAGCTAGCTAGCGATCGATCGGGAGAGAGACAGCCGCTTTAGTTTTGTAAAGCTGGGCGGTTGTGCAGAAGCCATGGTCATTTCTCGAGAGTTGAACGTTACAGGTACACTTTTTCGCTGCTAGACTCCACACGAGTTTTGTAGCTGCCGCTCTGGCTCGCTTTCTCTCCCGCTATACCCAGCACTCTCGAATGCAGCCTGTTGCAGTAGCAAGAAAGCTGAAAGTTACATACTGTTCCAGTCTACGGGAGCCTACGCGTCGGGAAGCAGCTTTCGCTAGTTTCAGACCGCGTATATACTAGAGCAGTTTCTGGCCATTCCAGCCTGAACACACTCCCTTCTGGTAAAGAAACAGCAGCACACAAAGAGTAAAAGCCCCCCAATTGCATTACACGCTGCCAATTTCCTACCATAAACTCAGCAGGAAGCGCTCACTACGCGTGTACGTTGTTTGGACTAGTTGGAATTCCTTTGATCTTACTCTCAGTCATCATACAATTCATCTTCACTTATGGCTATGGCATAGAAATGGATTTCCTGTAACTGTGCATATATATAATATAGACATTCAGGGATTGATAGTTCAACAATTTTATTGCTCTGTGGGTATATAGCTATTATGCATTCCACAAATAAGACATGTAGGAATGGGCAAAGAAAGATTTTCCGTCTTGGCATCTTCTTTACCCCCTTCTTAGCTAAGTGACATCCCTACATCCCCCTTCATTTTAAGAAAAAAGGTTGGAAAAATAAAAAAAGAAGAAGATGATGATAGATATCGTCTGATGAGGTATTAATAGTGTGTTTCGAATCTTTACTGAGTTCAGAGGCTTTTTTGAATACACGACCTGTCCCATTCCTAAATAAGGGGTCTAGAGGCTTTGATACATGTGTCATGTACATGTGATACAGGCTCTCTGGGTGATCTACATAATTATGTAGCTTCCTCATGAGTATTTGGCATACTATATACCAATACTTTTATCACAGACCTCATTACACATGTTTGCTACCAAATAAACACCAAACGAGACGCAGGATGTACCGTGCAAGCAATTAACCCTCAGTATAGCAAAATACCTTGTGTGTGATTCCTTTGTAAACATGAATGCTGTGATACTACTAAAAGCGGTGTGGGAACGTCTACTACGGTAATGCACCAGAACGGGAAATAGACTACTTTTTAGGATTGTTTTCGTGACAAACCAACCCACCTGCGCAGACCGACTTGTTTTTCCTTGCCATGTTTGGGACCTTTGAACAAGTTTCACACAGGGGGTATAAAACAGGCTGCTGAAACTAAGTTGCAACTTGAATTCTTTGAAGTTTATGTATTCTCTACTCAAGCTATAAAGCGTTGAAATCCCAAGCATGAATTGTCTGCCTCTGTTACTCTTCCTTCATGTCTCCAACATAGCAGCATCTCTGGTGTGTGGAGCATCTGGCTACTTTGTGAGGCCAACTCAACCAGCCAACAGGTCTTGTCCCGGCCAGCCATGTTTCACCCTATCCCAGTATATCAAGGCCGGCGATCAGTATTTCAAGTCCAACAACAACTTTGTATTTTGGCTACTGAGTGGCACTCACGATATATCGTCACCAGTTCTCATTACTAATGCATTTAATTTAACTATTAAGAGCTATCCTATTCAGCACCATAGCCACAACCCACTTATTGTTTTCAATTCCACAAAATTGTGTGAGTGCCCGCAAGGTGGTGTCTGTCAGGAATGTTCTACCATGCAGTTCTACAACACAAGTGAAGCAACTGTTGAAGGAATCCAAATCATTGCCGTAAAATCCAATACTACCTCATCTACCTAGCAGGAGCCCACCTAGTTGTTTAAATGCAGAATTGGACTGAAACCAGACTTAAAGGAGATATTGAAACCTTGTTGCTTGCTCCTAGAGTGTTACAAAAAGTACCGACACTATGGGTGCTGCTGCCTACACCTTGTAAACGAAGTACTGTCCTAGCTAGGTTTCGTTAGCTTTGCACTTGCTTTTCTTTTGTACGTACCTCACGTATAATTCATCCAGCAATAATTATGATCACATGCATGCAATGGTAAGGAACCCATAACCTATTTTGACCAAACAAGCAGTCAACCATGGTTCTGATACACCCAGGTTTCCTGTGGGACCCTAACCAGCGTCACCCGAGAGCCCACATCAGCAATGGAAGCTACACAGTCAGTATTGGGGAGAACGCCACCTGGGTGAGTGTGGGTGCCAACACCATCCTCTCCCACGGCTGCCACTACTGGGAGGTGGTCCTGGAGAAATACGGAGCACCCTCTCTGTCCAGGAAGGTTGTCATTGGTGTCGTTGCTGCCGGGTTCCACCAGTGGCACAGATTTAGTGTGTGTAACTCCCATGTGGTTTTGTCTGTGCCAGCACTTGCAAACTTACATTTCTAATGTGTTTTGTATTGTGAACTAGGTGCTCTGAACATGGTGCTCTTGTTACTTTAAGGCCGTATGTGCCATATCGTGGAGTGCAGAATGACCCTTAACATAGCATTAGACTGTAACAGTGGAAAAACGAGATTCTATCTCTGTTTCAGTATATACCCAGACAGGACAGCATTCGCCCTGTAAGTGTGAGGCATGCCACAGGTTTCATTCTGCAGAAGGCAGTGGCTCTTGTGCTAGTAAAATATACCCAACACGCTCATCTTATGTGATTGCAGGTCACACGGAGTCATAGGGATAAAAACGTGTCCCATTGGGAACCGTTCGTGGGGCCTCGCCTGCATGACGGCAAAGAAACTCGCTCACGGGAGCACCTTCTTCAACTCCCTCGGTCGCAAACACAACCTGTTCAGGGAGGGAGATGCTGTGAGAGTCATGTTGGATATCTCCTAACACATCATGTCCTTCTACCACAACGGGAAACCCCTGGGAATCATCTTTGATGATGTGCACAGTCCAGTTGTTCCCGCCGTGTCTTTCTGTCGCCACAAGGCCCTCACTCTCCAGTTCCCCTCCACCCATCCCACTAGCCCCGCCCCCTCCAGGTACTTCTCGAGCCCCGGCCTCTCCCGGCATGTCCCTCCGAGTCCTGCAGCGTCGAGATGTAATGCCGTGGTCCGTCAGACTGCCCACTATCTGTCCACTAATGCCATTGAGGTTAAGGGGAGTCTGACAACCCCAGTTGGTGAGGGACCCTTTGACCTGCTGCGAGGTGGCCCTGCCTTCTCTCACAATAATTATGTATTTTTGTGCTTATGTGTGAAGGTAGCCGTGTTTTTGCTATAAAATATTTATGGTCACGTTTTTAGTAATGTTTTGTCATTGGGAGCGGATCGAACAGCGGGATTGTTCTCATCCTTTGCAAGGCAAAGAAGGCAGTCTCTCAACTATCATTGGCTGGTGAATATCTAAAGAGATGAGCGTAAAAACCAAGTAGCCCTTCCATCGCATGCGCGGTCCAGCACGCGTGCTGCAGCTATACGCCTTGTGCCCAGCTCGCTTGTTTGAGACGCAGGATGTACCGTGCAAGCAATTAACCCTTAGCAAGCCACAGAAATATAAATATGTCCAGAGCCTCCATAAACCAATAAGAATTTATATAATATATAGAGCTATAATACTAGGTGTTAATGTTATACATCAATTTCAGCTTTTTTAAGGAGATACCCATGACGTCCAAAGTGTTTTAATGAGTCAACTTATCTCAACCACAAGTGGTGTCAGGGCACGTTTAGTAGCCACATGCATTTGCCAGTCCGAGAAAAACAGCACGGAGCCGCTTCAAAATGGGTCTTCTACATCTTCAAAGCTGTCGATTCTCCAAAGCATGCAATGCTAGTAAGGTAGGGTTTCTGATCCACGGGAAAGTTTTTAGCATCACTAAAATATTTTGAGTCCTTGTGGTCATCTGGACCCACATTTTAACCAGCCGCCATCTTTCCACTCTTGTATTTATATCAAGTTACATTCACCTGGTCTGATGAAACTGCTGTTGTAAGTTGTGCAAATGATGGTGGCTTCAAGTATGCACGATTTGTTTCACAAGCATGGATATGATTAGTAATGCTGAAGTAAAAGCAGTCCTCTACAATGCCAGATTGTGCAGCTGCCGAAAGGCGGTGCACATACTGTACTACCTGATTAATGTTTCAGTATTCGGTGCATCGTTACATTGATGGCAATATCTATCAAGTACATGTTCATGTAAGGGAAATAACAGCATTAAATGCAGTAATAACTCTACAAACAAATCAACATGCTACGAATAATAGGTATTTTACAGCTACTTTTACATGCTTTTAGTTTCTGTTGGCTTCTTTTTACTTTTGTTCTTTAGATGTAGACATTTCAAGTTGCTGCACGTCACTAAAAATGAAAGGAAAACACATTAAGACTTGTGTGAGAAAGTAAAGTTTACTTACAATTCCTCAGATTTTATGCCGTACCGCTTCTGACGGGCTCTTCGCAGGAATATCACCACCACAACGGTCATAGAGATGAGAGCCAGTAAGACTATCACCACACTAACTCCAACCACTGTTCCAGTATTCCCAGATTCGTCATTGTCGCTTTCACCTAAGGCTGTCAACATTGAGATGCAGCAGGCTATAATGTATGAGCTTTGTAACACTACACACCTAAAGAGTGGTTAAGTTTTTGCGGCTGACAAACACGTGTAAATGGCATACCTTCCTCGCAGAGAAAGCCACTGAAACCAGGAGAACACATACATGTGTAGTCGTTCACATGCCTCGTGCAACTGCCGCCATTTTCACAGATGTTCTCCTCACAAGTCTGCACAACTGTGGAGCACACAAAGTATATTAGCTGAGTAACCAACACAAAAATTTCGTGACTCAAAACTTAGTGTTAACAAGGAAGAAATAATATGAATATTGGATTAGTAGCTATAAAGTTTGATCTATTCTTCTTCCCTATGGATAATATGCTCTCTATTGTATGTTTAGCCAGTAGGTGTATTGTTATGAGTTTTTCTTTGAGAAACCTGGTCAATAGCTTAGGATTGGGTAAATGGATATATTATGCTTGGGTCACCATTAGAGTTACTACCTTTTTCAGAGCATGATTTCCCTGCATATCCATCTGAGCACTTGCATGTGTCATTAGCAACACAGGCTCCAAACTCACACCCAGAACTGCACACAACTATAGTGATGTTGTTACAGACACAATGAAAGGGGCTGCATTTATTCAAACCTGGAAGTAGGAAAGTGTAAATTTCGTCTATGATCTTTGAACTTTCAAGAGTTGAAATTCCCACATCAATGTTTCCGGTAGCAGCAATGTCAAAGAGACAAGAGCTGTCGTCACCACAGATTTCATTTGCTTTTGACTCTAGAGTTGGGTCACTGAAATTTGGCTCGAAAGATGGAACGAAGTAAGGATCATAGAAGGAGTCCCAGTTATGTTCTGGCTGGTACACAAACAGGCTCTTGGTAGCACTGTCCACAATCCCTACATGGAATTTATAAGGAATGTGGCAGTATGAAAGGGCTAAATTAATTACTGCTGAAAATGGAAACTTAATTACACTGGGTCTTATTGAATCTTTAGCCCTTATGTACTGACACATTCCCTTCAAGTTTGCTTGTACATGAATGACTTTAGCAGTAAGAGCATCATTGTTACTATCACTTCCGGTAGGTTTTTGCAGCACAGATGAAAGCTAGGCTTAAGACTCATTGTCACCTACCCCCTAGTAATATTCAGTGCAGACTCTATAGTACAAGAATGGCTGGGAAGACTTTTCGCTAACCCATGAAATGTTTAAATCCGGGTCAAATATTACGTATCAACTCACATGTTACACCAAACTCGTTGTGAATGTCTTCCATGCTCGAGTCAGGGGGGAGTGGTCTGTCACCAAACTGAGGCAGTAGATCGTCTGACACGTCTCCATTGTACGTCCCCAGTAGTCCCTGGACCTGGCCAGAGTAGGCTTCCAGCAGGATCACCTGGAGGGTTGCGATAAACCCATTCTCTGCACCAGCTACTACATATGCTCCACTGGCAAACAGAGCTTCAATAGAGTTTTCACCGAGATGTTGCACTGTCACTTTTTCAAACTCTTGTTCTGCAAGATCAAACACTATGAGTTCTCCGGAAACGATTGCAATCAGTGTGTTGTTTTCATCAACTTCGAACTGAACAGTGTCGGAATCATTGTCCTTGGCAGCAATGGCTGAGAAAACCGTGGCAGCTACTGCACTGTTGTTGACACCATTGGCTAGTGTCATACGGCCTTGCAGTGTGAACATGTCTCCTTGCGTTTCAATAAGAGTGAATTCTCCACGACCGTTGAATGTGTACCGCAATCCATCCAGTGTTACCAGGTGAGGATCTCCCCCTCGCAAATGCTATTATAAATTAATAAAAATTAAGCTTTAAAACAATTTTTAAAATGTCACCTGGTCGTTGTGGTCTGGTACGAGAGCAGTCATCTGAGGGACGGAACTCATAGTATTTTTCGCATTTACTTAAAAGCAGTGGAGTACAACAGAATATGTGCGGGACCACATCGACAAAGAAGTGGCCAATTGTAGTTTTGAAGTCTTTTGGAGCAACAAAGTCTATAGTTCCTCCGCTATCCTGCCCCACAATGATGTCACCATCTTCATCATAGCAGCATTGCTGACCCGCCGTTGTAGACCTGTTTCAATGAATACATCAATGTTAACAATTAACACACATGCTCATATATAGACTTACGGCATCCTTTGACGAAAACATTTGTCACTGTCAGGATGGAATATTACCGATGCAATGCTTTCTTGTTTGAAGATATTTCCATTAATCTCTGAGACAGTACATGGACAAGGAGGAAGCTCAGACAATATTTGTAGTGACGCCTCCCTTGATTCTGCCAGTCCCCATAGTTCGCAGGCCGCTCGACGGATCACTTCAGTTTTAGGGTATTTAACTAAAATATAAACTTTTGTTACGAAAGTAATGCCTCTGATAACATTTTTGATAATGTTTCTGAAAATTCCACGTTTGCGTATTTGAGTTTCAGTGCTTGATTCGCTCACTCCGATTTGAAACACAACTGGTGATCCAGAATCATTGTCGGCTTTGGGAGAGCGCTCTGGAACAGCAATTTCAATGTATCCAGTGTTTGGCATGTCTTTAGCCAATTCTGTATAAACCCATTTAGCAGAATTTTCATCATATTCACCAAGGGCAACATTGATTGTGTATCTATCGTGTCGTTCAGTGGGTAGAATTGCTTCCTTTGACCACCTCAGCCTTACCATATCACCACTAGTAATAAGAGGGTTGGTTTCAATACTTACTCCAGCAGCTCTTTCATGTGGTACTGAGGAAATAAAATTAATACATTTTAAGTCACCATTATTATGACTCACCCGATCTAAATATAGATATCCCGTTAAACATATTTTTCTCTCCTTCAATATGAAGTTTAAAGGGCACTCGTCCAGTTCTTCTCATCTCTGGTGAAACACAAAGAACCTGGCCATCTTTTGTAACAAATCCATCAGTTTCAATTCCGTCGAATACACAAGTGACATTGTCTTCCGCAGATGCTGTAATCTTATCCCCTGTTACGATGATTGGGGTGCCCCCAATTTCACTCCCATAACGAGGTGTGAGAGTAATTTTGCCTGGAACGATTATCGGAAAGAGTTAGTAACAGAACTGCATATTTACCAGATATGCTTACCATCATCATTCCTAATGACAACTTTAGCTCTTTGAAACGGAGAGAGATGGACTCCTTCTCCACTTACGAGGTAGAGAAAAAAACTTTCATCAAACTCGACATTGGTGTCATCGTTTATTACAACATCGACTCTCTTTGTAAGTTCTTCAGGAAGAAACGTCAGAATTTCAATTATTGGCATGTAGTCACTCCTCGCTGCAGTGATTGCATCAGCAGCATGACACTCAATAATTTAGGTGTATCTGGTAAAACAGTATATTATTGTACACACTAAATCTCATTACCAGCTGCGTCCCCCTTGTAAGGGTCACTTCCAATGAGAACAACTGCCTCCCTTGAGATGTCACCGGATCGCACAAGTTTCACTCTTGCAAACTCTTCATTTTCAAGCACTGTAAACTCTGACTGCGAGAAACTGATGATTGCCACTGTAACCAAACCAAAGATATAAAAATGTATAAAGGCTTAACTATGTCTGGTTAAATGCTTGCAACTCATTTACTGAAGGTAGCTAAAAAGAAGTTAGACGCTTACACTGAACTGGCTCCAGTTGCAATCCTCCAGGGTATCCATACGAGTTAAAAGCGTTGAAACCATATGCGGACACACCAATTTGCGATGAGACATCTGCATGATAGAGTTGATGTTCTCCAGGTAGCAGAGATGTGCTTGTTATGTATCCACAAATATCTGCACTGGAGTAGTAAACTGCAACCCATGTGGAATTCTCAAGGTTGGTGTCATCAACAAATATGCTTTCCGGTTGAAAGTCCTCAGGAGTCACATACAGTGTTATATAGTTGATTTCAAACTCTGGCAAGACATTGAAAACATAGTTGTTACTGTACTGTTCAACTGGTGTGATCATCATCATGAACGGATCTCCAATCCCATCTTCATTGTTCCCCAGTGCAAACTGCATCACAAGTAAGGGTTTGTCAGATGTTATTGAACAGAAGCTTTTGTCAGGAGTTGTAAATTCCTGCCATGAGCCAGCAGTGTCGAGGTTGTATGTCAGCACTTCACTGAGAGTACTACAGTTGACAGTCACCGAAGTGGAGCTTTGAGATGCCAGTATGCGGTAGAGGTCACCTGATGCCCTGCCTGCATAAGATGAACTCATGAAAGTAGTTCCCCATATGGCAGTTGGAGGTACTTGCTCCGTGATGTGGTCACAATAACTAGAATAAAAAGGGATATCGGTACATCTATGTCCAGCATACACCACTAGTGGTTTATTGGAAATAACCCTTGTTCCAGTTACACTACCACTCTCCCAAAAGTAAGACTCCATTTGGTTTATCTCAATAACCTGTGAACCTATTTGAAAAACTGTGCCATTCTCACAGCCCACAATCAAAATGTGACTCAGTCCATGGCCTCCACCAGAGTATGACACACCATAGTATTCATACTGGTCCACTGGGAGGCGATCACAGGGGAGGGCCAGGAAAGCGTCAGATGTAAAATTGGCGTAGTTCAAACCGTAAATCACAATGCTGCTTTGGCCATCAGCTGTGACCCGTATCCCTTTATCTCGCTCGTCGCTTGAGAAAACCTGAAACGTGTTTGGTATCTCCACTGACAAAGTCTCGTTGTTGGTAGCAAACCCAGAGAAGGTAAATCCTCTGAGAGTCTCGACAGTGACTAGCACAGGATCTGGTTCAATGGATGAAATGAACAATCTCAGAGTTGGTGAATCTCTTCCACCATCATCATTTCTACCAAAAGCCACAAAGAATTCTGAGGAGTAACTTTCCAGGACATTACCTGCAGTAAAGAATGATGGTGCCTACTAGAATTAAAGTGCAAACCCTCGGCGAACTGGGCATGCGCGGTACTGCTAATGGACTATTAGCGTTTACCCGCAGTCTCCTGCTAGTAGCTCGCGGAAAGTCTGACACGGGCTAGCCATGGTCGATACACGCCCTTCGCTGTGGCTTCTTGTGCGGCGAGCGGGAGCGACCCAACTTGGGATTTGCCCGCGATGTTCGGGCTGCATAACGTGCCGTCAGCGCACAGCTTTCCTTTCGTGAAGCAATACAGAGCTACCTGTCGCCGTTATATGCGTACTGTATATTGCCAGAACGGTGAGTAGGTGAGCAGAACCAACGGTCCTTACCTTACGCTTTCAGCTCGTCTGTCGTGGTCCACCAGGCAGCTGGCATGGCAGTAGGCTAGGCAGCGATCGATCGGGCTGCCCGACAACGCGGCGTGTGTTAGCCGGTCCACCAGGCAGCAGTATGTGCACGAGCAGTCCTAGCGTATTTGCAGCTTGGAACCATGACGATTGGGAAGAGGTACAGCCTCGTTCAGTCACCGAAGGTTGCAGCGCATGCCGTCGAATGGAGGAGAGTTCTCTAGCTGGCTAGAGCGCATATCGCGAGGCGCTAGGCACCGTGGAAGCGCGTACAAAGCCGCGCATGCGCACTTACATGACGTACGACGTTGACGTACGGACGTAAAATCCGCTCGAACGAACGACTAGGTTGGCTCGCTCCCGCTCGCCAACAACCAACAACCGGCACTAGTAAGCTGCTTAGATACAAGCCAGAGAGAAAGTCAAGAGAGGAAAAGGTGAGCGAGAGATACAGTATAAAACATAGACACTAACGTAAGTATACATTTTATGCCGGACTCCTTGCTGGGGAGTGGTCCCGCCTATCCCAGAGTTGACCTCGGGTCGGAAAGTTAAAGGGACCGAAACCCGTTGTCATACAATGACGGAAATAGGTACTTCCCTGATGACCAGCCGAATACATATAGTGACACTCCTGCACACGTGGGTGTGGGCGTAGTAAGAAGACCGCATGAATGTCACTATAGCCCTCCCAGCCGTGCTTCTCCCCCCTTTCTCCTTAACCCTTCTCCCTTTTCTCTCTCTTCACAAATAACACAACACACACACACGTAACCCTCGCTGCGCATGCGCGCCAAGGGTTAACGAAAGTGCGAACTGCGCAAGCGCGATACCACTAATTGATGGGCGGGGCCGTAGTATAATACTCGTTGTCTTCCGCTAGTAAAGCATGCGGGAGTCGATACACGCCCTCCGTTGAGACTTCTTGAGTCTCCAAGGTACGCAGAGCAAGCACATCTTGTCGAGGTAAGCCTGTGCTAATTTGCATATTGGCTTGTTCACTTGCGTTTCACGCCATAACTCTCGAACGCAGTATGTTTGTAGCTAGTAAAAAACCACGCGCATGCTCAGCCGCCCACGCAATTATTGGTATTCCACGCGGTGGTTGTAAGATGGCAGCAGGTATGACCCAAGGCAGGTATGTGTTATCTTGTCGCAACAAGGCCGTAAGGATGTAGGTAAACTTCCTGTGCCGTGGCATACTACTCGACTCTGTTTTACAAAATGCTGTCACCTATAGGACTTACAAAACGACAAACCTGAACTATAGCATGACAAACTAGCTTAGCAAGACACATGACAATACTCTGCGTTCATCACAGACTCGCGTTACGTGGGAGTGTCCCGTCCTCAGTTTGGTAGTGAGGCTCAGGTGTCGGGAGATTAAAGTTAAGGAGACCGAAACCTGTGACCTACATGATGCTCTGCTGAGGGGTCCCCTGATGACTGGTGCATTAGGTAAGACAGACAAACTAGACATGTACACACAGTAGTTGTGGTTTGGGATGGGTAGTGGGACTCCCTGCCGTGACAGGCATTCACAAAGCCATGCATGTGACCATGTACACAAAGCCATCTCATCCTAGCACTCTCATTTTTTCCTCTCCCTTCTGCACACGTATAAACACACACACACAGAGTAAAAATGCCCCTTTGCTATCCTGTCAATTGTAGTAAAAACGCATGGGCAGGCTCAGCCGCCCACCCAGGGCAACTTATTTGGTACCTCACACCGTGGTGGTTGGAAGAAGAATGCATCGGTTGATTACGTCCGTGCAGTGTATGTGTATCTTGTCTAATCTTGTCATCAACAAGGCAGTACAGGTGTATGGGGTGCCAAACTGGCAAAGCATTTGAAAACAGCACTCTCACTCTCCTGCAGGCATTCACAAATAGATTTGCCGTACATATTCGACGCTTCTACTTATTCTAGATTGAAGTCCGTGTTATTATTGGTAGTAGCGTTCGAATGCTAGCCTCAGCAGGCATGACACGAGATTAGCACAGAAAACTCTCTCAATCAAACCCGCACACATACACTTATATAGACTCTCCGCACATGCCGCACAATACCGGGCATAGCATCCATACACCATGTATACTCATACTACATCTCTCCTTCTTTAGTCTCAGGCCTCAAACGTACCACCAGTATTCGTTTCAGTTAGACCCACTAGGGTCAAAAACCGTATCGGGACTGTGGCTGCATTTTTTTGTGTCTTTCCCGTTCTCCTGCACGCTGCCTGCTTTGGCCTCTCCTCCTTCCGGCTAATGTAGGTTGTGTGTTTGAATCGATTCGGCTGAGTTCAGATTCTCGATGTCACTCACTCTTCCCCTCCTCCCCTCTTATCCCTGTACGCGGAGGTGCTCCTGCTGGCCCTGCTTCACCTCTGGTAAGTGGTCTTATCTTTAGTCTTAAAGATGAGCTAGTAGTGCGTGTCTTTCTCCTTTCTCTTCTTATGCTCATTTTCTCT